GTATTTTAGGAAAAAAGTCTATTTGGGAATACTTCATATTTTGTGAGGATAAATTAAAAAAAGAACAGCTTTGCCACTTCAAAATTTCTTAAGATGAAAAACATTACACAGATGTAAACAACAGTATCTATGAGCTTCTATCTGAATATAATAAAAAAGTGTAACAAATATAAAGGAAAAAAGAAAATGCATGGGGAAAATGAGATACTAAAAACATGTACCTCTACCAACCTCAGTTAAAAATGAGCATCTCTTTATCGTGTCATATAGCAGAACAATGAACCCAAGACCAATCTAGCAACGAACCATAATGTCAACTTTTCAAAGAGGGACTGTGCAAATGTTTAATAGTAAAATTACAAAACAGTTTAAAAATAAAATTTCAGATTTATTCTTGCACCCCAGAAATTCATGTATGACAGTGATATTTGGCTTTGAGGCTGGCATACATTTGTCACAGGATCATGACACCCAGCCAGCATTTGGACAAAATGTATATTTTGTATGGCAATTAGTATTTTAGCATATGGATATGCCACATTTATTTACCCAAATGCAGATGGATGGCCATTTTTTTTAATATAAACATTCTTGTACACATAGCTTTGTGTACTTGTTCAATTATTTCCTTATACTTAAGTACTAAATGTGGATTTGCTGGGGACAGAATATAAGCCCTTTTTTAAGGGCTTATATGCCAAATTGCTCTCAGGAAATACTATACCAATTTATACTCTTACTAGAGGCATCTGACAATAACATCTGACCCACACCCTTCCCAATGATGGAGAATATCATGTCCATTCATCTTTACCAACATGACAGAGGGAAAAAAAAGGAACATTGTCTTTTTTTAACCACTGAGATTAACTATCTGCTCTTATGTTTGCATTTCTTTTGTGAATGAGCTTTTATGCTCTTTGCACGTGATGTGTGAAACTTGTTTCTACATGGAGATATTAGTCTTTTAAGTATGGAGTTAAGAACATGGTTCCAATTTTTTATGTTTCTCTCTCTCTCTCACACACACACACACACACACACAAACAGGAATAAACATCTTAGTGCATAAAATTTGTTCTGTATGTAGGATTATTTCCATAGCATAGAGTTTCAGAAGTAGTGTTATACTTGGTTCCAGGCTACAATATTTTTAAGGCTTTTGATCCATAGGGCCAAATTGATGAAGCAAAATCGCTGATGTACGAGTATACCCTTTAACCAAATCCTTCCCAGCTCAATATTTTTCTCTATTTAAAAACATTTTGGCTAAATTTATAAAGAATGAACAGTATGTCATTGCTGCTTTAACTATTAATACCATTTCCCATTTCTTTGATTCAATGGTCTGTGCAACTTAAATTTTGACAATGTTCTTATTAGAATTCGTTGACTTCTAAGTATTGAAGATTTTTTAATAGTTTAGTTTTTATCATAGTTCTATCATCCTGCAACTGTTATTAGATTCAAGGATGTTTTAGTGGAAAAAGACAGGAAATGGAGACTTTACTGAACACTCATTATATGCCTAGCACTGTATATATTGAAAATGTTAACCCATACAACAATAGAATGAGTTAAAGATTATCTCCTTTTTGTGGCAAGGAAAACAAAGCCCAGAGAGGTTCAGCAATTTGTCTAAAGTCATACAGCTCATAAGTGGTGGAAATTAGAGTCTTTCTAACTTTCCACTATGAAGAATTTCAAAAATACATGAAAATGGAAAAAAATACTAAAATGAATGACCATATTTTTAACAATTGTTAACATTTTGCTATTGCTTCATCTTCCTGAATATTTTTGCTGCAACATTTCAAATTAAATTACAAACATCATGCAATTTCAGTCAGAAATATTACAGCGTATGCCTAAAACATTCTTCTACATATCCTATTCCACTATTGCACCCAACAAAAAATAACAATTCCCTAATATTATCTAATATCCAGTACTGATTCAAATTCCTGAGTAGTTCCCCAAATGTGTCCTATAGTTTTTATTTTCCAAACCAGAATCCAATCAATGATCATTAATTGCATTTGGTTTTTATGTCTCCAAATCTCTTTTAATGTAACCAATCCATCCACACTTTTTTTCCCATGACATTGACCTTTTGAAAAGACCAGGAGTGCTATCTTATGGTGTTCTCATATTCTAGATCTGTCTGATGGCATTGCATGGTGTTAACTTATTTCTCTTGATTTTGTGATTCCTATTAAGTGGACATTAGATCTTAAGATTCGGGTTAAATGTTTTTGGCTGAGAATGTTTCACAAAAGATGTTGTGTATTTCATAGTCTTCACATGCCAAATATGTTAATTGTCTTATTTCTATTATATACTATTGATTAATAACATTATTATATTAGACTATTAATTTATTTAGCCAACCTGCCTTTCTTCAAAAATCCATTTAATCCCATCTTACCATATAAAAATTAACTTTAGGTTAACCTATTTTGATTAGCATAATTTATGATTGAATAGAATCTAAGTTTGTGAGTTTTAACTATTTTTTCATTATTGAGGGACATACAATTTAGAATGTGGATCACAGTATTTTAGAAACCTACAACTTAGCTCTGACAGCAGCTAAAAATTCATTACCAAGTCATATTGTAAGTCTGTGTTATGTTATACAATTTCTAAAACTTTAAATTCAACTTCATATGTTTTCAAATGCTTATTCAACATATATTCCAACAGAGTTCTTCTTGGAAAAAATTAAAGTACCTTTTCTTTACAAAGTTGTATTAATCACAGTTCCTCAAACCTCAAGTTCTGACCATCTTAATAGATATTTAACTTAAAAATGAGATTTAGAATAAGTACATTTTCAAACCACTGTCATTGCTCTACTGACATATGCAAATCAATGTCAATTCCTGCAGTGATTTAGCAGCTTCAACAAAACTTCACTTTAAATTAAAGTGAAGAGCAATAAATACATGAACACATCAAAAATCACACATACCCTGAAAATATGTATATCTATTATGTATCAATAAAAACAATGAAAAAAAGAGCAATAACAATTATTTTTAGACCACTGATACAGTTTTGGCTTGTTTAGAGTTTTAAAATTAGTCATAGATGCAAAATTTTATTATAATCATAATTTCTGAAAAGCGTAAGTTGCAATGTACTTTCTCTAATTTCATTTAACAACCAAAAAAATAATTTCAAATAGACTTTTGTGCCTTTAATACCACAGCCATCCAGCAATGATAAATATTTTATTATTCTTTTAGCCTGGGCTTTTAAAAAAGTACTTAATATTCAGACTTTAATTATCTTCAAAGATTTCCCAAAACATTACATATGGATATCTTATAAGCTCTTCCCAAATAATGTTTTTTAAAAGTCCATGATTCATTTTTCTTTAGGAATATTAAACAAAACATTCTCAAGTTAAAAATCTTAAAGAAAAAAATTTCTTCTAAAATTCATAGCTTCACTAAGATCAATGTGGGATTTTTTTCTCCTATGAAAAATAAAGTCAAATACTTCTATGTCTGTACTAATGACTCCTACAAGAGTTGGAAAGGTTCTCTGAAAGGAGGTAGTTAGACAATCAAGAGAGCAAAATCTGATTACTATAGACAGTATTTCAATATTTAGTATCTTTAAAAAAAAAAAGTGTTCAAAGCCAAAACCAAGAAAATCACTCAGAATTTGTTCATTAAGGTGCCTCAATTTCTTTAAATTCCAAAGAAAAAATCAGCAGATGAGAGAATGTCTATAAATAAAAAGGTCAAAAGTACATTCTATCAATGGCTATAGTTCAGAGATAGTCTGAGGAGACCAGTGACTACACAGACATCCCTCTGCTTGACCTGTTGCTCTGGTGGTTTAAGGCTCTGCCTCCAACACCAACGAAATCATAGGGGCAGGTGTGTTTGAGAAATGGAAAAAGGAAATAGCAGAGGTTTTTTTTGTTTGTTTGTTTTTTTAAAGCACCAGGAAAGTACAATCTAAAATAGGAAACATTCCCGATGTCCTACAAAACACTGAACTTATTTAGGAGTTGGGCAGCTGAATGCAGAGCCCATATCTTCCATAATAGTTTGAGCTGGAACAATAAATATTAACCAAGGGGCTTTTAGAAACAGGTAAAATAAATTAAAAACTGAATTACATCCTAATATCAGGATTCTGCACAATAGTATGAAACACCAAGCAAGGAAATATAATAGGTTCTTTTGTTGTTGTTCAGGATGTCTGATGAGACAGAGAGCAAAAGCATCTATCTATAAATAATTCTTTTTCTCTGCACCAAGTTGGGTCCAGTTACTTGATTTCCATGTAAAATACCAAGTCGTAATTACCAACTTTCCGGAGCTCAAAGGAAGATTCAAACTGGTGCCCAGCTGCCAGGAGGAGGACCGCATAATTAATTCCTGACTGTAGTGTTGGCTCGGATTCAAATGCCTTTTTGAACCTATGAAAAAAAATGTGCAAGTTAACTTTCTCAATCATGAAACCCTGGGTGTGCAATACCTTCTGTTTGCATAACTCCAATGCCTGAGCAAGTAAAAATATTCCACTGGCCTTCACCCCAGAGTCTGGTGTGCTATTAGGATTTAATGCTTAAGTGACTGCATATCCTTGCGGCTTTGTTGCATTCCCCCACCACTTAACTCATCCTCAACCTAGCAGCTCCAGCCTTTTAAAAAATCTTCTCTTCAACCATCTGCCAAAAATGTATGAATGTGAAAATGTAGTTACAAGGGCATTTACTACAAGATGAAAAATTACCCTAAATTTCCAAAAATATTACAAAGTGGAATATAGAACAACATTCCAAATGTTAGCCATCACTCCAAGTGTGTGTGTGTGTGTGTGCATAAGCAATAAAACTTAAAATATGAGAATGCTACCCAATTTTAAAAAGTGCTTTTTAAAAACCCTTAAAAATATACAAAGCATTGAGGAAGATCAAATGGGTAACATACTGAAAGGATCAATTCCATAAGAGTGATATAGAAATAAAAAAAGAATGTCAATTACAGGGAGAATTTAAAAAAGCAGAGATTGTGCCTCTGCATACTAATACTGGCTCAAGGAGAATAAAAACCCTTTTTTGAATATGCATGATACTGAATATCAACCTTTGAGAACACTTCAACATTTGAAAGGACTTCAGTGAATATTCACTGTTTCAAGGTAACACTCCCTAGTATACATTTAACAGTTTCCTGAACAGTTTCAGTTTACTGAAATAGTAAATGTGGTGATAGACACAATAGTGTATATCACAGTATAGTATAGGCACTATATATGTATAGTCTTGGCTTTTATATATACTTGAAAATGAAAAAATAAAAATATATACGAAAAAAAGTAAAATAAGTTAAAGATCAAAGAAAAAGAAAATGTACATTTTTATGAATATCGAGGACCATGTGCCCTTTTTGTAGAACAAGTACCTCTGAATGAAAAGAAAAATCAAATCAGTATTAACCTTAACTAATTGGTTCCGATAGTTATGTACCTGTGAAATATGAAAAAAAAAATTTCCAACTGCATCGCTGTAGGTGATTAAAAAGAATTTTTATCTCTCCAAAAGTATAGATGTCCCCATTCTAAAATGGAAAAAGTGTGTGCCCAGGCTGCAGAAAGTCCTATCAAATAAAGTCATAACTTATAAGCCTTAAACTCATATAAGTCTCCAAGATAAAGACCGTTTGTCTTTGTTCACAGGTGCGTATGGAGCCCCAACAAAAAAGGGTTTAGGAGAAGAAAGAAGTTATACATTTTTGGCCAGGCGCGGTGGCTCACACCTGTAATTCTAGCTCTCTGGGAGGCCGAGGCGGGCAGATTGTTTGAGCTCAGGAGTTCGAGACCAGCCTGAGCAAGAGCGAGACCCCGTCTCTACTAAAAATAGAAAGAAATTAATCGGACAACTAAAAATATATAGAAAAAAAAATTAGCCGGGCATGGTGGTGCATGCCTGTAGTCCCAGCTACTCGGGAGGCTGAGGCAGGAGGATCACTTGAGCCCAGGAGTGTGAGGTTGCTGTGAGCTAGGCTGACGCCACGGCACTCACTCTAGCCCGGGCAAAAGAGTGAGACTCTGTCTCAAAAAAAAAAAAAAGATATAAAGAGGAAGATGCAAAAAGCAAGACATGCCCAATCAATCAACAAACACTGGTTGAGTATTTCCCATGGGCTGAAACCAACCCAAATGAATATTTGGGCTTACATATGTTTTTCTGTCATCATAAACAATACATATTTTTGTATTTTAAACCAAAATATAAGTATTAATAAAATTAGTAATTCGTATTTTTTCTAGGGCACACATCACTCCATGACAATAAGTTGAGTACTATATTGAGGAAAAAGTCTTAACATTTTCTGGTGATTAAAACAGCATGTATAAATAAATAAAATCCTGTCATATATCATTAATATACCTCTATAGGGAGTGGGAATTCTCCCACATTGTAAAAGTAAATAAGCACAGTATTTTTTGGAAGAAATTTGCCAATATCAAAACTATAAAATTAAAAAAAAACCATGTATATCTCTTGACACAACAATTATATAATACATTTACAAATTTATGCCAAGAAAAAAACCATTAAATACCTAACCAGAAATTAGTTACAAAGGTATTTGTTATAAGATGAAAATTACTCTAAATTTCCAATAACAGTATAAAGTATAATATAGAATAAAATATGTTCCAAACATTGGAAAGCTATGTGGCCATTTATATTGTAGAAGAATATTAAATGTTGGGGGAAAACTTGTGCTTCCAAGTAAGATGAAATAGTCCACTTGGAAGCCATTAGTCCTGCTTCAACAACTATGGGAAAAACAGAATACATATCAAAAACACATTTTTACAGACACTGGAATCTATGGAAGCAACAAAAATATCATTGAAATAAAACTCCAGAGAGGAAAATGCCCTTCTAAGATGAGCAGAATTGCTGTCTTCCATGGGGACTTTTGCTGATTCTGACTATAAGATTAGGCTTGTGCTTGGCATAGACAGAACTCTGCCTATTTGAAGCTTACCAGGGAAAAGAGAAACTAGTGGATTTCTTGATAATTGCATGGGTTGCCACCAGAATGAAACTTAAAGAAGCCCCTAACATGTGGCCAGTTTTCTCCACAGGACATTTGTTGGATGCTGGTTGTATAGGAGACTGGGGCGGGGGAGGGGAAGGCTAGGATGACAGACAGAAATCTCCTGAAGTCTAGCAGTGCTCAGGAGTGAAGTCTCACTAGGGAGAGGGGCCTGCAACAAGCATATGAAAGGTCTCCGCCTTAAGAAATTTATCAAATTTTGGAGCTAAATGATGTGGGAGAACAGAGCTAACCTCAAAACTCCAAAGGGCAGACAGGAAGTCTCCCACAGTACTGAGGGATAAGGAGATAGAGACCTGCCTGGCTCTCAATCAAAAGCCCAGGAGAGTCACAGCCAAGCAGTAGAGATGATACAGAAATAGACTAAGTCAACCTAAACTGAAACTGAGGCCGGGGCGGTGGCTCACACTTAATCCTGGGACTTTGGGAGGTTGAGGTGGGAGGATTGCTTGAGGCTGGGAGTTTGAAACCAGCTTGAGCAACATAGCGAGACCCCATCTCTACCAAAAATAGAAAGAATTAGTCCGGCATGGTGGCACGCACCTATAGTCCCAGCTACTCTCAGGAAGCTGAGGAAGGAAGATCGCTTGAGCCCAGGAGTTTGAGGCTGCAGTGTGCTATCATGATGCCACTGCACTGTAGCCTGGGCAACAGGGTGAGACCTTGTTTCAAAAAACAAACAAAAACCCGAAACTCAGACCCAATCCAACTCAATTGTATTTGTGTTGGTAAACAGGTGCTTACTCTGTCCCTTTCTAGATAACAGAGGAAAGGGAGAAAATAAGATCATCTTTAGTCTCAATAATTCTTAAATACAAAATGTCTGAGATACAATAAAGAAGTATGAGACAGGCACAGAGCCAAGAAAATGTGACCAATAAATAAGAGTAACACAGACAGGAAAAGCTGACCTACAGACAATTCAGTTGTTGCCATGCGTAGATAAGGACATTAAGATAATTATTACTAATATGGTAAAGAAAATAAAGAGAAAGATGAATAAAATGGATGCAAAGACAACTGCAACAGAGGTCTGGAATCAAAAAAACAAAAATCAAATAATCTAGAACATACAAAACCTGAAAATACAAATTCAATGTATAGGCTTAAAAGTTGACTAGACAGAGCAGAAGATGTTTTGGTTGAGCTAAAAAACATGTCAATAGAAGGTATCTAAAGTGAAGAGAGAGAGGAAAAATAGGTGACAAAAAGCACAACAGAGCATAAGAGACATTTAGGACATAATTAAATGGTCTAACCTATGTATTATTGTAACCCCAGAAAAGGAAGAATGAGAATATAAATACGAAAAATATTTGAAAATATAATAATAAAAATATTCCAAAACTGATGAAAATATCAACCCACACACCTAAGAAACTCAGCAAACCCAAGCAGGATAAAATAATCATAGGCTAAATCCTAAAACCAAAAACACGGAGGAAAATCTTTTAAAATTAGCCAGAGGAAAAAAGATACATTTCTTTCAAAGGAGCAATAAAACTGATGGTTAACTTTGCAATACAAATATGGAAGACAGTGACATTTTTAGAGTTAAAAAAAAAAGGTATTAAAAAAGATGATTTTAGACAAGCAAAACTGGGAGAACTAGTTGCCAGCAGATCTACACTACCGAAATTACTAAAAATACTTCAGAGTAAAGGAAAACCATTTCAGTTGGAAAAACTGAACTGCAGAATGAAAGAGCATCAGAAAGAGTAAATATATGACTAGATATAAAATATATAATCTGTTTTAAAGCTATCGATTATTTAACCGCTCTAAGCTTTTCTTTCCTTGAAGAAGTGGCAAAGTAAAAAAATGTAAGGTAGACTATAAAAGTCACGGATGCAGATTGTAATCTACAGGGAACTGCACAAAGAATAATATACTAAGTATTATTAATGTGCTAATATAGCAGAAAATGTAATACTAAATTAATAAAAAATAATGTAGGAATAGAGGACAAAAGGAACAAAAAACCATGAGACACATAGAAAATAAACAGCAGATGATTGATATAACCCCAACTATCGGTTACCAAATTAAATTTAAATTATCAGAACATTCCAAATAAAAGAGATTTTTCAAATTAAATTTAACAATAACAACGAAAAAAAGATGCAACATTTAAACTACACACACTTTAAATACAGGTTGCGTATGCCTAATCTGAAAATCCAAAATCTGAAATGCTCCAAAATCCGAAACTTTTTAAGTGCCACCATGATGCTCAAAGGAAATGCTCATTGGAGCATTTCATATTTCAGAGTTTCAGATTAGGGATGCTGAACCAGTAAGTATTATATAATGCAAATATTCTGAAACCTGAAAAAATCCCAAATCTGGAACACTTCTGGTCCCAAGCATTTTGGATAAGAGAAATTCAACCTGTATAAAGATACAGGTAGGTTGAAAGTAAAATGATACATAAAGATGTAGCATCCAAATACTAAACAAAAGAAATCTGTTATGATTATATATTAATATCAGACAAAACTGACTTTAAGACAAAAATTATTATCAGTGATAAAAAGGGACAATTCGTAACAATAAAAAGGTAAATTTAACAAGAAAATCTGATAGTCCTAAATGTACCTATTAGCATGGCATCAAAACAAATAAAGCAAAAATGGACAGAACTAAAAAAATAGACAAATCTACAATCATAGCTAGAGATCTTAAAACACCCTCACAATGATGACCAAAGAGGCAGATATAAATTATCAGTGAGAGTATGGAAGAAATGAACAACCTGATGAACCAGGTTAATCTAACTGACTTATCTGGAACACTACACCCAACAACTGTGTGCCATATTCTGGGCCATAAAACACTTCTTAACAAATTTCACAGGACTGAATGCAAAGCGTGTTCTCTCACCACAAGAGAACTAAACTAGAGAACAATAAAGAAAGACATGTTTGGAAATTTGGCAACCCACTACTGAATAACCCGACTGTCAAAAAAGAAATCACACTAAAAATTAGAAGGTACTTGAACTGAACAATATTAAAAGTTCAATATATCAAATTTCTGCAATGGAGAACAAATTATACCTTTAAATGCATATATTGGAAAAGGAGCAAGTTTGAAAAATCAATGCCCTAAGTTTCCATTTAGAAAAAGAACAGCAAATTATCCCCCAGGTGAGTATAATAAAGAAAAGAGCAGAAATCAATGAAATGGACAGTTAGTTATGTCACTGTAATGATTTCACTCTAAATGTGACATTTTTATCACATGCATAAATAAATACATAAAGATTGAAAAAAATTTAAAAAGAAATCAATGAAATAGCAGATTTGCAATAAAGAAAATCAGTAGTGTCAAAAGTTGGTTCTTTGCAAACATTAATAAAATCGATAAACTCCTGGGTGGACCGCTCATTAGA